GATCTCCAAACTCTCTTCATCCTTTAAGGACCAGTGCAAATGACATTTCATCACTGTAGGTACATATGAACTTCTCAGAGTATGTAATCACCATCTTACCCTCAATGTATTAGTTATTTTTCTTAATTTGACAAATATTTGAGAACCTATTGTGTGCCAGGCTGTGCAGATACTTTGTTTATTTATATATTTATCTACACAGTACACTATTAACTTTTTGAACACATTATTTTCTGTGTGATTCATAGTAACTAGTATTGTTACTTGCCCATAGCAGACATTCAAATATGGTTTGAAGGAATGAAGACACACTATTTTAAAATGATAGCTGCATGTGGGTTGTAAAAATGTACGATAGTAGGTAGTAGGTGTGATTCACTATAGATGGAGTAGTGATCAGGGAAGGCTTCATGGAAGAGATGGCATCTGAGTAGGGATTTGAAAATAAGAGTAGGAATTAGACATTAAGATATGAACAAAAATATTTCATTTTGATTAGAATATGGGGTTCAGAAGGAAAGCAAAAAAAGTTGGAAAAAACTTGAAACCAGATTGAGAAGGTTTTAAATCCTAGATAAAAGGATCTAGATAGCTTTTATAACTAAAGAGGAGTGATTGAAATACAGTAAGGAGCTGTGGTGGTGCAGTGGTTACAGCATACAGCTGCTAACTCAAAGGTCAGTGATTCAAATCCACCAGCTGTTCTGCGGGAGAAAGATGAGGCAGTCTGCTTCTGGAAAGATTTGCGGCTTTGGAAATCCTATACGGGTTAGATGAATTGGAATTGACTCAATGGCAGTGGATTTGGTAGAGATCTCAATGATATATAAATTGGGGCAGGAGAGACCAGAATAATAGACAGAACAAATTTAAAAATAGTTAAAGCAGCCTCTATTTCTAGCTTCCTTGCTTCCAATATTCTTTATAGTTTTTGTGTTTCAAGTTTTAAGTAGTTAGTTGAGCAACTACTTAAGCACATTTCAGGATTTTTAAAATATAGTTTTTATATACATAGCAAAATCACTTTGTCATATTTCAGAATATATAGAAATTGTGGTTGTCCTATATATTACAAGGAAGAAAAAGTGGGAAATTTCTCTGATACTCTTTTCAAGGTGTTTGATTTCTACATCCAAAGGGATACAAGTGATAGGCTCTTCCCACATCTCTGACTGAAGTGTTCTAGAAGTTAGGAACCAAAAACATCTCCTTCCTCACTCCCTTCTCAAGATCATTTCTTTTTAGCCTCTCTTTTTCTGCTGGGAGCTCTGGTGGCATAGTGCCTAAGGCACTTGACTGCTATCCAGAAGGCTGGTGGTTCAAACCCATCAGCCACTCCTCGGAAGGAAGGTTGGGCAATCTACTTCCATAGTGATACCGCCTCGGAAATCCAAGGAGAGGTCACTATGAGTCGGATCTGACTCCATGGCAGTGAGTTAGGTTTGGTTTGGTTTCCTTGCTAGACACTTCTAGCTTTCCTGTTCTATCAGTTTGCTGTCTTGAATCTTTAGGTTCAGTCTATTCATACATTCAAAAGGCAGAATCAACTTGAAGAGAGTCACCCCTGGGCACAATGTCTGCTTGCTGCACTGGTAACCTGTATAAGAGAAAAGTTGTTCTCTGCGATGCGTGGGACCTTAGCTATGAATGCTTCTTGCAGGAGGACGGGAAAATTTTAGATCTAGAATCTTTGCAACAGTTCCTGCTCTTGCCCATTCTCTGGGACTGAGAAATCAATTAATCAGGTTATAAATACAGTTCCTTCTCTCATCTTTCAGGATCACACCTATAGAGAGAATAGTCTGAGAGGAGTGACTTAATGAAAGGTAATCCCTCACCAAATATATCTCCCTTGATATTACCAGAAATACACTAATTAGGGATTCATTTGAGTTAAAAAGCAAACATGATCCTGGAAAGGACAGGTGAGAGAGAATCTCACTCTCATTCTCTGCATTAGGAAAACAATCTGATTAATATAATCCACATAAAGGGACTGGGGGCGTTGATTTTGGGGAAAGGGAGAAGACATAAGGTAGAAATCTATAAAGTCATTCTAGAACATGGTGCACTTCCAAGGAAAAATCCAGGGAGGGCCAGAGAGAAATAAACAACAGAATGAGGGCACTGGGATTCTGAAAGGTAGGGAATTAAGGCTGGCCAAGCCAACAGGGGAGAGTTCTAGTGGCACAGTGGTTAAACCATTTGGCTGCTAAGCAAAAGCTCAGCAGTTCAAACCTACCAGCTGCTCTGCGGGAGAAAGATGAGGCCGTCTGCTTCGGTAAAGATTTATAGCTTTGGGAACACCATGGGCAGTTCTACTCTGTCCTAGAGGGTCACTATGAGTCGGAATTGACTTGATGGCAGTACTTTTTTTTTTTTTTAAGCCAAGTGGGAGGAACGAGGAAGAGCCATAGCTCAGTAAGTTTGGCGAGTGAGCTCTAAAGGCTGATTTGCCAAGGTCTTCATTTATTCCCAAGGGTTCGACCCAGCTCTCACTTTCTGTGGGAGCATCCACAATGAGATAGAACATACTGGAACCTGGATAGGGAAGTGAGTCCAAATGAGGCTGGGAGTGCTGGATGTGGAGCTAATGGCAAGAAAGTAGTTTCAAAAGTAGAGCCAAAGAGTTGGAACCCAAAATGAGATCAAATTAATTAACATTACAGAAGTTTGGACACTTTTATGTTTCCCATCTTAAGTTTTATTCAAACTGCTTATGCTGGAAATTCTGAATATACCTGGGTCAAAGAAATGAATGATTGGCCAGCTACCATTCAGAATTCACCAGGCTCCAATAAATTTGCTTCATGTGAGCTCAGAAAATGAAAACTGTCAATAAGGCAGAAATTTGCAGAAACACAATGAAAGTTAGTTTCTCCATAAACATTTCCAAAATAGAAAATTCAACTCATTATTTTCAAGAGTCCTTTAAGCCAAGAGTAATATATTTTTTTAGAGTAAAAACAATGAACACCTTCATCTGCAACTACCACCGCTTACTCCCCCATCTCAGGAGATGTTCTGTCCAGGAGAGGACCTGCCATGACAAGGCATATTATTTATTTTCCTTATCCATCAGGGCCAGGGACATGATCCTTCCAAGGTGCACAAACTTCATCTGCTCACCTCTAGTCTCCTCCCCTCAATTCAACAGCTTCTCCACCTACTCTTAATATGTACTTTTACCCTTTCTGCCAATAAATACGTATTTCTAATCCTCTCTTACAGTGCATGACCAATGACCCCGTAATTCCTAGCTCATTCCCATTTCTCTGCCATTGATATACCAATGGCAGAGGTTCCCTGAAGATCACTGACCACTTACCTCTGAGATATATGACCCTGCCAAATTGGGTATAGTCTTTCTAACCTTACAGTACTTCAAAAAGTCTTGGAGGATTTATTTTGGCTTTCTAATTATTTACTCAGATGAAACATCACAACCATTCTAGCCAGCCCCCAGTTCCTGTCATCACTCACAGCCTCCCCACACTGTTTAGACAGAGATTAAAGTTAAGAAAGGTTTGCTACTCTTTACCCAGCTTCCTCCACCTGTATAGCTACCCTATTCAACATCATCACTATTGTTATCAAAATTCAGCGGTGGCCCCAGAATTTGAAATTTACAGTGGTCCCTGTCATTCTTGCTAACAATCCTTGCATCTTTCTCTTCCTCAAATAATTACTCCACTAGGACTCATTATCCTCACTCTAGCAACTCTTCAACTGCTTTAAATGCCAAAGTCTCTTCCTTACAGGTGGCCAAGTCCCAGCACCATTCCTTTTTAACCAATTGTAAACCTTCTTCAAAGTCACCTTGCTTCCCAATGGATGTGATCATATAGCTGAACTCTAACCTTACGCCCCTGACCCCTACAGCACAATGTAGGACTGGTAACAGCCAGCTACCACTGCACAAGTGCTAGACCAAATACTTTACCAAATACTTTCACATTCGTTTTTCTCTCAGCTAAGCCTCTCAACAGACCTGAGAAGAACCACTATTTTTCCCATTTCACAGATGAGAAACCAAGATTCAGAAAGAATCAGGTGACTTATTAAGAACCAACCAGATATGTAAATGCTAGAATCAAGACTCAAATTGGAAATTTCTATGCCAAACCCCAACTCCTTCCCCATGCAAATTTCTGAGAAAAAAACAGCTGCCAAGCAAGGCCCACAACTGTTCTACAGACGCTTATCCACAAGTCTTACATGGGCTGCTGCAGGCAGCCTTGGTCCCTTGCCCACTGCATGTCACTACTTTTCTCTGTTTTCCACTCCTGGTCAAGCCTTGACACACAAACTCACTGCTGGCACTTCCCACAGTTCCCTACTTCTGTTCCTTCTCCACTGACACCTTCTCTGCCAGGAGAAAGGAAACAGTCTTCTTTCCTTATCCAGTGACTTACTCACTCACACTCTTTGGCTCAGAAGACACAAACTCTTAACCACAAACTGTGTATGAGTGTACATTTATTTATGGCTTCAGCTCCATGTTCTCTATCCTTCTCCTCTCCTGCCCTGTTGAAGCATTCATTTTAGAGTGTAAGCTCCTGGCCTAGAAGGCTCTAATGGATATTATCCAGCATAATGTCTTGCATTCAAAGGCACATAAACAGTGGCGATTATAATCTTTTTAAAAATAAATTACCCTGTCCTGGATCTGAATTAATGACAGAAACCAGCTGGCAAAACTGCTAAGAGCATTATTTACTTCATTTCAGAGTTTCTGAATAAGAAGTCACTTAAGAGAGCTGTAAAGTGAAAGACAAGGGCACATCTGTTTACTTAAAGTCCCAAAGGTACAAAATGAAATATTGAGAAATTTGTTATTAGCTTCCCTACACTGAGGACAGTCCAGCTCTAGTGTATATCATGGTCAGCCCAAGTTAAAGGATCCTGGTTACCAGCATTTCCGTTACAAGAAGGAGGAGATCAGCTATCCAATCACATATGGGCTCTGGCAAAGCAACAGCTGGCTGCACGTTACTTACCGGTTTATCCTTGATGGTGGGGCTTGACACACACAGGTACAGTTTCCCATCTTCTTCGAGGCAGGCGTCTATCAAAGCTTGTACTGAACTCTCTTCCTGGAACAGCAAGAAGGCATAGCCTTGGGGGGAAAAACAAAACAAAACAAGGGGAGGGGAATGAGTAAATTACATTTGAAGTACCAATTAAAACTCTATCTATTGTTTCATTTTGACAAATCTTAGTAAAATCTAAGAACTTCAGGTAGGACACAGGAGAGGAAAGGGGAAGCAAAAGTCACTGAGACCCACGTGCCAGACACTGTGGTATACCCACTCCTGTCAAGTCAATTCAGATTCACAGTGATGACCTCAAGGGTGGAGTAAAATGGCCCTATAGGGTTTCCAAGGCTGTAATTCTTATGGAAGCAGATTGCCACATCTTTCTCCTGTGGAGCAACTGGTGGGTTCCAATCACCAATTTCAATTAGCAATCCAGGGCTTAACCACTATGCCACGAGGCTCCTTTTGATAATGTGGTAGTTCTTCATAATACATTACACCTTGTTTAATCTTCATAATCACTCAGGGTAACAACTTCAGAACACCTCTATGGAATTTCCACTGAATAGATGTGGTCATCCTTAGTGAGGACACACAGACTCACTATTGGCCTGTACCACACTTCAAACCAAAAAACCAAACTCACTGTTGTAGAGTCAGATCCGACTCACAGCAACCCCTCCTAGGATTTCTGAGGTGGTATCACTAGGGAACTAGATCGTCCAGTCTTCCTTCCAAGGAGTGGCTGGCGGGTTTGAACCACCAGCCTTCTGGTTAGCAGTCAAATGCCTTAGGCACTACGCCACCAGAGCTCCTGTTACTGGTCAGGAAATAAGCATCATCTTCCCTCCAACTTCCAGCAAGCTCTAAGCTTGGCACATGCTACAGGATGGACCAACTCTGAAAACAGTATGCTAAAGCAAAGAAGTAAGTCACAAAATACCACATATTATATGATTCCATTGATATGGAATGTCCCCAGTAGGCAAGTCTGTAGAGACAAAAAGTAGATTTGTGGTTGCTGAGGGGTGAGGTCTTTGGGGGAAGTGGACATGGGGTTTCTTTTTGAAGTGATGAAAACTTCTAAAATTGACTGGTTATGGTTGCACATTTCTGTGAATATACTGTAAACCACTGAATTATATACTTTAAATGGATGAACTGTATGGTATGTGAATTATATCTCAGTGAAGCTGTTAAACAAACAACAACCAAAAAAAAAAATAGGTTGGTGTGTTTTCAGTTATTATTTTTGATTATGACACTCTGTTTCTCCAAGGATACTCTCCTGTCTCATTGCTGCAGCCAGTTTCAATCAATTCAGTTCAATTTAGTAAGATTTCTTGAGTAGCTGTTAAAATCTATGCATATGAGAAATTGAGAGGAGTAAGGCCATACTCCTATTTTTAAGAGACTTACGAAGTAGCAGAAATAGTCATTTAGAGAATTATATAAAGTTGAGGTAGATTAACTGGGGGCAACAAGTGCCTTGAGAGCCCAGAAGAATAAGAACTCTGATTAAGGCGAGTAAGAAAAGACTTCAAAGGGAAAACCAACCAAAAACCAAACTTACTGCCATTGAGTCGAGTAGGATCTGACCCATGGCAACCCTGTATTTGCATAGCTCAGGGGACAGGAAAGCAAAGGGAAGAAGGACACTGGGAAAAGGTAACTCAGGGAAGACGTGGGAAGAGAGCTGTTACATTGTGAGGAGTTGGAGTCAATGTCATGAAACAAAATGTGTATGAACTGCTGTATGGAAAATGAATTTGCTCTGTAAACTTCCAACCAAATCACAATTTATTATTATTATTTTTCTAAAAAAGACAAGACTTCAAAGAAGACAACAGATATTTAAGAGGCCAACTCTTAACAGCACTTGCTCCATATTGGCATTCATGATTGGCTGCTGAGCAAAGACCCATCATGACCTAGCCCAAGTATTCAATTGTTCAATCTCTTTACAACCTTGTAGGATTTGCTAAATCTCTCAGCTGTCACTTCCATTCCCCGTTCTGCTACTGACCTCAAAAGGAACCATCACCGATACTGGTTTCCTCTGGTGCACCACATGCCAGAAAGATGTAAATGATGGGGCAGGATATAAACTCCAGTGGACAGAAGACTCAGACATCAAACAAAAGTGTTTAATTCAAAATCAACTGGCCAACAAGCAAAGCTTTCTAGAGTTCTGAGCAGCGAGTAATGACAGTGGTAATGAAGAATGGCTACTGTTTTTTGGCCTTGTCCCAATTCTTCACCCACTATACAAAGCATCCGAGCAAAAAAAAAAAAAAAAAAACAACAACAACAAAAAACCAGCTACTCCCCAGACACACCAGAGAGTGACCAATGCAACAGGCAGAAGAAGGCCATTGAGCACTAAGCTCAATGTGGGCATGTAGCTACAGGAAGGAGGCTGGCTGCCTAAGAGTTGGGACCAAGGGCTGTTTTCTAGGATTTGTTCACAAGCTAGATGGATCAGGGGATTGACTAGGCAGTACAAAGAAAATCTAACTGCAAAATTAGAAAGAATAATACATCATTTCTTCATATCCTGTCTCTTTTGCAAACAGTATCAAACTACCACCAAATACTAAGAAAGCTATTAAAAATTCAGTGTTTTCATTTAATCTGAGAAATTAATTCAACTCACTAAAGATAAGATTAGAGAAGAGTCGGTTGAAAAACAGACTTCCTCCTATCACTAAGAGGAGCTCTCAGAAGAGTTCCATCAAACCTCCTGCCTTAGCGGGTTAAATACTGGTAGAGCTTCTACAGGGGTCATAAGGCACATACTAGGTATTTTGCTCTTGGAGATGACATTTCTGTGTTACACCATACACAGGCACATCAAAAAGGCCTGGGACAGGGCATGCTCAATGAACTGGGCTTCTCTACCTCCTTGCCTGAGGAGGTCCACCAGGATGATTGCACCTTTCCTCCACATCACTGCTCATCATCTGCAATGTTCTCCATCAAATTCACCTCCAAGTTGACCTTGGGCATGGGGGCAGAAGTGTCTCCCCACAGCAGCCAAAGAGCTACAACTAAAGCATGTATATTTTCAGAGTATAGCCATGATGTCAACTGGCAGTAACAAGTAAGAACTTACTACAAATATTATTATGAAGAGAAATCTCTACAAGCTATTTCTTTTCCTTTCTAAGGGAACAGCCCATAATGCTTTACCAATTTCTTCAGGATGGCTCACTTACAACAAATAATTCTGTGTCAAACAATCATCTCTATGTCCTGGTCAGCAAACTGCCACTCTCTGCAGGGACAATATTTTCATAGCACTACAGATAAGGAGTGTGGCTGAACTCTCCTCTGGGCTGTAGTCCAAACATTTTTTTTTTTTAACTCTACTGCCTACACTTCAGAAATTCCAACCAAAACAAAATTCACCTGAAATACCCAAATTACCCACTAAAACAACTATATGATACTTTACTTATTAAAACACCTTCTGATACGCCAGTGTCAAGCAAAGCCAGATGGCAACAGAAATCAGAGGATTTAAAAAAAAAAGTTAGGAAGGAAGTGATCTTCAAACATATTTTTCTTTCCATCTTGAGAAATTTAGGTCAAAGCAAACCAAGTAGAAAAAGATTCCTTAAGAATAACAAGGCTCCTAGCTGGCCTTCAGGTCCGGAATTGAACCCACACCTGTGATTTCCAGCCAAGCAAAAGACAGGCATAGGAGTTGAACATTTACCTGAGGTAAATACACTCCTTGGAGAGAACAATCATGGGAGAAAGAAGGGCTGTTTATGCACAGGGAGACAGCTCAGGGGGAAGGGGTGCATGGAGGGATGGAAAAAGGGAAGAGGTAACTATCGGGAGGAAGTGGGAGGGGAGCTGTTACATTGTGGTGAATTGTGATCAGTGTCATGAGACAAAGTGTATGTGAACTGCTTTATGGAAAGGAAATTTGCTCTGTAAATTTTCACCCAAATCACACATATACACACACACACACACAACACAAAAGAATAACAAGGCTCTTAGTCCAAACAATGGGGGGGGGGGTTACTAAGAAGGGAGGGGAGAAGAGTGGGTTAGGGTTGGGGATGGTAATTGGGGAGTGAAACCAAATGCACACCAAATGTTGAATGTAAGACAAACTGCTCTGTAAACCTGCACCTAAAGCACACACACACAAATTAATTTTAAAAAAAGGATGATACTTGCATGTAAGCTTTCTTATCTATGAATTTGATTTAGGTTAGTAAAGGGAGCACTAAAAGAATTTGCTATAGTAAGGGGGTATACACTTACACAAGGTTGAGTACTACTGTCTCTTCTTGTCATTCAGCTCTTGGTCTTCACTTTTTTTTTTAAATAGAGTGATTGCTCAGTACACCCTCTAGTTATAAGCTAAGGCTGGAACTAGTAGCAAGGCTCCAGCGGCTGTTTCTTGACCCTCCCTTCCCTGCTTTGGCTGATTTCTTTTAAGCATTTGGCTCTGGAAGCTGCCACTGTGTGAGGCACCCTGAAGCAGATGCAAGGCTGTTCTAAACTAACCTGGAAAAGGGATGTGATGTACTTGAAAAAGAACACAGACAATGTTTCTGGCACCATGGCTGCTGCACAATGGCCCCAGATGGCCAAGAGCTCTGGGTCCTCTGCATGTAAGTAGCCCACGTTCTGGAGTTTCTTTCTTCCTGTTGGAACTAATAGCAAGTGTCCCTTCCTAGCCTCTACCCTCCACTCTGCAATTCTGGGTCTGCTCACTTTTTCCCAAGGTGCCCTAATTAAAGTACAACAATGGCTGTTGTGTACAGGACCTTTCAGAAATCTGAAGATACCTGCTTGCACAGTGGTTAAAGCACTCAGCTGTAATTAAAAAAAAAAAAAAAGGTGACAGTTCAAATTCGCTAGCTGCTTCGCAGGAGAAAGATGAGGCAGTCTGCTTCCCTGAAGGTTACAGCCTTGGAAGTCCTAAGGGGCAGGTTCTACTCTTATCCTACAGGGCCTCCATGAGTGGGAATCAACTCGATGGCAATTGGTTGGTTTGTTCCCCAGAAATCTGAAACTTTCAACAAATTCAAAAGACTGTGGCAAGCTGAAGGAA